TAGATAGATAGATAGATAGATAGATAGATAGATAGATAGATAGATAGATAGATAGATAGATAGATAGATAGATAGATAGATAGATAGATAGATAGATAGATAAATACCTACATGTCCTTAAAACCGGCTGTAGTGAAATGTGAATGGAAAAAGCTATGTGGTCCGCTGGCAGGAAATAAAAGACTCCCAGACACTGACCGAAGTGGAACGACAAACTTACAAAACGGAAAATATCAGGTGTGAGTGATTTAAATAACTTTAGTCCTTATTATGTGTTTAACTAGCCTTCTGAATTTCAAAGTTCTCCCATGATCAGACCAGAAAGGAGAGATTTTCTCAGTTTAATACTTTTAAACATTGGATTAGTTAAAGAAAATATCCAAAAGAGTGGAAGAAATAATGATAACTGATCAATATTTGTTGTTATCATATATCTTTAAAGTATTTAATTTAAACTTACTTTAGAAACCCTTTTCTGCGCCAAAGATCTTATGTCAACCCAATTAGATCTGCTAAATAATCATAATCTACTGAACCAGTACAAATACCTTTAGATTTTTTAATATAAATGCCAAAACTACTCTTACTTTTATTTTTTTTGCCCAAACAGGATGAGACCAAATTTGATCCTAATGTGTTGTGTTTCCATGCTAACCTGGCCAAAATGGTCTTCATCTTTCTCTGGGTGTGACAGAATATAGGGAACTACACCCCCAATTTCAGGAAGCAAAATCCAACTTCTTTAGGAGAGTTTTCACACAAATGTTTGAGTGTGTTTTTATTTTTTCAAACATAATCACATGTTTGACACCTAACAACAGGCTAAATCCCATGTCCTTTCCTTGATGAGTTTATTTATTTTCCTTACTAAGAATTGCACTGTGACTGGTCCTCAATAATTGTCTTTAAGTTAAGCCTCCTTATACATGGAATTTAGGAAAAGTTACTAACTATCTGAAATGGTTCTAAAAAGCTTGCGGAACACAGGCCCAGAGTCCCATGGTCACCATGGCTCCTGCTTAAGGGCAGGACGGCGGCATCTTTTAAAAAATTCGCCATGGTCTCCGATTCCGGCTGCCACCTGTTCCCCATTGCACCGGACAACTTTGCCCCCTCTTATGGGTGGTGAGCCCAATGGAGAGGGGACCCATGTGGCCTCTTCGGGCTTAGCCCGGCTGGGCTATATGGGCTAAAGCCCCGCCACCAGGCGCTCGCCAAAGTGCCCCGCCCCTGGGCCTGGCTCCAGAGTGGGGCCCCGGTGACCCGCGTCTGGGCGAGGGTACACTTGGCCCATTCATGTTATTCAACATAAGGGGTCCTTTGAAAACATTTGTTTAATATTCATTAAGATTTCAGGATATTGTGTTAAAAGTGTTAAAAATGGGCTTAATATGCCAGTTTTATAACCCCATAAGTTAATGCGTCAAAAAATGGAGGTGAGAGTGAATCGTAACTCTTTGCATCAGTTTACTGATATGAATTGAATACTGATTCTGATTAATTTAATACTATATTGATTCAATACAGGGTAGCTCTTACTGAACACTGAAAAGCATTTGTAACAGCATTTAATGCATGCAATTTCATATCGAAAGGCGTCCATAGGCGTCTGTAGTGATCCTTCCAACTCTCTGGGCGGCTGTAGAGTGAGGAAACTTAGCTTCTACCACCGAGAGAGAAACCGTAGAAGAAGAAGTAAGTGACGTCAAAGGCGGAACTGTCAACATGGAGGAGGACCGAGATCCTTCCACGAATTCACTTCTGAAAGATGGTAAAAAGTTCTTTAAGAATTGTCTAAGATGAAAGACTTGTGACTTTTCCAGCTATCCTCGATCATTTGTAGCGGTAACATGTGCTGTTTTTTATTCAACTCCGTATAAGGGGAAAAAAAAAGAAAAGAATGTACGCACCATTCATGAGTGCTGTCGCTATAAATAAGAAATACTATGGTAGCAGGTAAAGAGTGCAGCTATTCAGTTGGGTTTCAGAGACGCCTAGAGACAAAGAGCGCTCTTGGCTGGCTAACATTTGAGAATGAGGACGTGTCGCTCCCCTTTTCAGAGTGCTATACAGATTTTCTGACGGACGACTTTGATGTGAAGACATACACTGCGCAGGCTATCCACCATGCTGTCATCACCGAGCAGCTGGCCAGGCTGGCACAGGGCATCAGTCAGCTGGACAAAGAGCTGCACAGCCAGGTACCTGCCGACCCACCACACCTGCTCACTGGTAACTGCTGTCATCCATGGAGCAGCTCTGTTTCCGCCAAGTACTCTTTCCTACTGCACCCATTCTCTACCACTTATACACCAGTACTTGTAGCAATACGAAAAATGAGAAAACCATAAAATGATGTGTGTGATGCATTTTGAAGTACACAAGTCATAGCTATTCAACTGGAAAATGATTTTTTTTTTTAAGCTACAAAGAAGAGAAACGGGACATTTAAGAAATAGTTCTAGGTTTAAATGGAGGTGAAAATAAATGGAAGGTTAAGTCAGAGGACAACAGAATATGTGCTCACTCTAAACAGACAACTCTTTGTTTAATCTTGAATACAACATGAGTCATCTTAAAACAAGAGATGCCTAACTGGATTTTCATTGCTTGCTGTTATTTCAGGTTGTGGCGAGACATGAAGACTTACTCTCTCAGGCTACAGGGATAGAGTCCCTTCAAAGTAAAAAAAAAAAAAAACTAAACAAAACAAAACACAAACAACAGACAAATTCTTGTTTGTCGTCTTTGGGCTTTAAGCAATTTGCTTTTTCACTTTATTTCTTCACAATCATTTGCAGTCTGGTCATAGTTAGTATTTTGTCAGCCAAATAAGAGTAGCAGCATTGTTTAGTTACAGGAAGCCATTGAACTGTGATCATTTTTGCAAACTTTCTGCTGATAAAGCAAAAGCAAGCGTCCACATTTGTGAGGTTTAATTGTCATTTTGACAGTGAAACATTGCAGATTGGCTGTTATGTTAGTTGGTATTTATCAGATACGTTACTGCTGCTGATTGTTTCCACACTTTTTAATTATGTTTGTATTCATTTCTGGGATATCTCACGTCGTCATTATGTTCATCTTTGGGAACCAGCTGCTCACCCTTTGCAGTTTCTCACCTCCACCCAAAGGTGGAGCCAGAGCTGTTCCTGCTAAACGGCGAACCCCGGCGCTCTGAAATGACATGTCGTGTTTGCAGGTGTCCTTCAGATGATGCAGACGAGGATCAGCGCGCTACAGGCTGCCGTTGACAGGTGAGTGACTGAAAAATCAAAGTACGTTTAAGGCCCCAAACAGTCCTTTTGGTGTTGTTGGCCCACCAACATGTTTAGCCTCTAACAGACGCGGACTATAAACTAAACCCTGTCCTTTTCACTTTGTTCACACGTCTTATTAAAGCAAGATCTTCTTCTCTAATAGTCCTGGCTGATTACATGTTTTGTTGAATGATGTCAAAACACTATTAGTTTTGTTTATTTTATGGCTTTGATCGATTTATGTTCCAAACTGAGAACATCTGCGATATGATGGGGACATCAGGCACTATGACTTCAGGACAACTTTGTTTTTCTTCCTATTGACATGTCGATACAACCTCTGTTTTGAGCTCTACATTGGTTAGACACAACAACTCACCTCACATTCTTATAGCAATGAAAACCTCATATGAGGAATAAATAGTACACGCTACAAAGCATTTTCTATTAAACAATTTCATCCACCCTGCTCAATATTATAGTCATTTTATTTTTTTACACTATATTCACAGTAACTCTGTACCAAAAATATTCAGTAGAAGACTTCTCTAAAGATTCTGATTTTCCAGCAGCGGATTCTGTGAGAGGGTTTCAAACGGCTAACATCCCATGATGCATCTGCACATCAGCTTCTCCTGTTCAGTGTCTCGGTAAGGGGGCTTTAGGGTCTACTTCAGTTCTCTTTGACATATGTTTTCATTGCAACTTATCCAGAGGAACCCCTCTAGATTAATCATGCATCTCTGAAAATTTTTTAAATAAATTAAGTTTGGTGTGTGGATAGTTAGTTAAACTTTCACTAGGAAGTTAATTAATTCTAAAAAGTGGTTAAGCCAGGTGTACAATACTATTCGTAGTTCAGGGCCCTGGTAAATCTGGACACTGTTACCTTCTCCTGCAGGACGGTCTGAAATTGGTGAAATGTGTGTCCAGAATATGACAGTCTGGGTTTAAACAGAAGCAGATCTTCCTTTAATGGAATCCATTCAGACTGACCAAACCATGCTTTTCTCTCCAGGATAAGGACAAAGATCGTTGATCCCTACAACAAGATCGTGGCTAGGAACACCCAGTTAGCCAGGCTGCAGGTAAACACAGAGTTAACTCAATCTACCCCACGTTATGACAAACTGTGCATTATCTTTAACTGTATGATATGTTTGCTTTTCATTCTTTGCAGCTTTTAGTCTCTGAATCTGTTTGACACTCTAAAACTGCTTTGTTTACTTCCTTTTTCTGCAGAGCCCCACAACTCTGTCAACTCTGGCACCTGCTCTGCATGTGGGTACCACTTTCGGGTGTGAAATACCATTGAGGCTAAAATAAAGAAAACAAAGAGGTTAAGCCGGGAAATAAAGACACGACTCGGCGAGCTGTTACATGAACTTTTATGATTTTCTTAAATTAGTTTTGAAAAGGTTACAAAAACAAAACCCAGAGGGGAAAAACACAACGACAAAAAACAAAAGGAGACCAAAAAAAAAAAACATCTTTCCCCACTTCCCCACACTCATTGTACATTTTAAAGGTGTGACATCATCACATCACAGCTGGAAGCCTCTGACCTCCGATCCACTCGTCCTCCCACAGCCCGCATACACGCCACCCACCCGGGAACGGGCCCCTTCCTGCTCGGTGTGAGCCCCGGTTTCATCCAACGGGTGCTCGGCTACACGCACATGAAGACAAGGACTCACAGTCCAACCACATTCTGATGTCTCAGAAACCGTCCCAAACTACAGACCACAGGACTGCACTGTACAAAACGGCTCAATGGATTTTGCTGGTCAGAGACATTGTTATTTATGATTACAATGCACACGCACTCATGTTCACAGACACACACACACACACACACAAACAGGCCGGCGGTCCTGCCCTTGTAAAATGAACATTAAAGTAGCGACCCTGTAAAGTGCACCAGGTCCTCGGCTGCTGTGAGGCGTGCACACCCCCAGCCACTGCCCCCGCCTCCTGATGACCCCCTGGATTCGGTGAGCTCCTCGGAACCTGAATTGGCCTGATCCGGGCAGAGGTCCAGTTCCGATCGCGCCAGACCAGCTTCTCTCGCCGTAGCCTCCCACCTTTTTTTTCTCTCTCTCTCTCTTTCTTTCTTCTTTTTTTTTATTTATAAAAATGGACTGCACATTCCTTGTACCTCCTCAGCCTCTGAAATCACACAGGGGGAAAGGGACACTCTGGTCACTCTGGCTGCATCTGTCTGCATGTCACATGTGGGCAAACACCTTTTTATTTTACCCATTTGTGGGTCAGATTATTACAGTAGAATTCACATGGAGTCACATTTTTTTCACTTTCAATTTGGCCCAGTTTTAAGATGTGGTCCTAAAAAGGACACATATCTTCTTATGTTGGTCGTCTGTTTGCACCCATCCGACTTTTGCATCTTTGAATTGAGACAGATGTCAGCACGCTGCACCGGAGCAGCTGTTGGAAGTTTTATATTATAAGTGGATCTCAACGTGGTGAGATCGAATGTAAAATAACATGGATTGCTATGAGCATTTTTGCTATATCAAAATAAAGACGAATACATTTGAGTGGAGTGGATCAAACTCTTTTTTTTCTGCCTTTGCCTGAAACTCTGAATCCTTCTCCCACCTCTTCAGTGGCCCTTGGCAGCTGTGCTCCGCCTTTGCTGACAGATGCTGTAGATCTCCTGGAGCTGCTTTTTCTGGTCGTCGCTGAGCGGGGCTGTCAAACACTGATACCACGCTGCGTCAGTGTTCTGGATCCCTGTCACAAACACATCACAACCACAAGTTTCCTCACGTCTCCCAATTAGAAAATCCACTGATTTCTGTGAAAAACACATGAATGAGTCTAACTCTGTAGATTGGTCTCCAGCCATAACTTACTCCCATCTCTCACTACCAGTTGAAATTGGAGGGAAAACGATGGTATCTTGTATAAACTATAGACCAAATGACGAGATTCAAGGAATAATTGGGAAACCTCTGGCTTTTGTGAGAACTTGGCAAATTTATAAGGCAAAAAAAGGAGCTAAAACCATTTAGTCAGGCTGAAATAATTCATTTTTTTATTTAAAAAAAGAATATGTATGTTTTTTGGGCTTGTCGTTGTGGAGTGCTGTTGGGGACATGTGAAATGAACTGATAAAACCTTTTTTTTTTATTTAATTTTTTATCCTGGACCAAATGTGAAATATTAAATAGAAAATTTCAAAATAAATTTTGAAGGGGGGGCCACCTACTGCCCGTTGGCTCCCCCATCTTTTGGGCTGGGGCCCTCAAAAGGGGCCTGGCAGCCTGTACAGAGGTCACAGGACTGATATTTGGGTTTTCTGTAATGTGGGCTTGTGGCTGTGAGAGGGCCTGAAGGAGAGCGGACCTGGCCGAGCTCTGGGGCCCGCTGACCAAATGCAATTGGTTTGAGCAGGTCGGGGGTCACATTGCTTGAAAGCTGAGAAAAAGACCTACGCAAGGAGGTATGACATGACTGGGTCCGGTCCCGACCCGGCTGGGTCCGATCCCCCTGTTACCATGTAACATAAACAATGTATCGTTCAGCTCCATAGCTGTCCATGGGCTTAGCCACGTTGCCACGGCAACAGCACCCTGGCCCCAACTGAACATTCCTAACTTCACAGGTGTGACTGATTAAGATGCAAATCTCTGACTGCCAACTGAAATTCTGACAGTTTGGATAAAAAAAGTGTTCTGGATCCCTGTCACAAACACATCACAACCACAGGTTTCTTCACGTCTCCCAATTAGGAAATCCACTGATGTCTGTGGAAGACACATGAATGAGTCGAACTCTGTAGATTGGCCTGCCACCACTTTCTAACTTTTACTTCCAGCCCCACGAACATTTGAAATTGGAGGGAAAAAGATGGAATCTTGTATAAACTTTAGACCAAACGACAAGATTGAAGGAATTATTGGGAAACCTCTGGCTTTTGTGAGAACGTGGCAAATTTATAGGGAAAAAAAAAGCAGCCAAAGCCTTTAGTCAGGCTGAAATAATTTCCTTTTTTTTTATCTCGTCATTGTGGAGTGCTGTTGGGGAAAAATGTGAAATGAACTGATAAAACCTTTATTTTTAATTAAAAAAAATTGGCCTGGACCAAATGTGAAATACCACTAAACTGAGTCATGGGGCCTTCCCTCAAAGATGAAAGCAGTTCTCACCATAACAGATGGTATGAGCTTTCTAAGATACTCATTTGGGGGTCCTACAAAAGTTAAACTTTATCATTAAAGTACAGTCTTCCGACAGGGGGACAGAGGCACTTCTTCTCTTTAACGGTTAAACGTGTTTCGACCGTGACTCACTAAGAAGGGCGGCCGTGAAGAACTGGTACTCGTCCTCTCCGTTGTCGTAGTCCAGGGATGTGCTGTACTCCTCCAGGGG